TCAAGGCCAGGTTGGATGAGGCTTTGGGCAACATGTTCTAGTGGAAGGTGTCCCTGCCCGCAGCAAGGGGGTTGGAACTAGATGATCTTTAATTCTATGATTCTACGATAATTATAATATTTTTATAGGATACACATCGGTATCATAAGTGGGTTCCACTTCAAATCAATGGGACTGATTCATGTTTAAAGAAAATCTATTGTCTTAAATACTTTACTGGACAGGGGCCACGTTGCCGCTGACTTTTCTACATGGGCCATGTTAGCCCTTAAACTAATTTTAACATTGGCATACTGCATTGTGCTATTCTGGAGGACATACAACCACCTTGGAAGTCAAGGACAGGCCTTACTAAGACCAAATTGGACCAGTGCTCTATGAACTGGCTGCAGTCTAAGGTGGGTTTTCAACTTGAAAGCCGTACTTAGAGCAGCACCCGTCAAACCGAGAGACCGCTTGTCCACTCTGCCCCATCCCCTTGACAAGCCCTGCATGGGCACTGGCACCAGAACCAGAGGAGACTCTCCCACTGCCCCACCACCATCTCTCTGCAACTCCCCTGCTCCCCTTTGGTCCTGAATACTAAGTCTGCTGATTTCACAGATACCCTGCAAGGTTCACTTCTTCAAGAAGGCTGCTGAGAAAGGATTTTATTCAGTGAAACAGTCAGCAAGAGCGAGGAATTGCTTTACAACTGAGCAATTCAGCACTCATTCAGTTTTAACAGATATGACAAAGATTACTATATGCTTTTTATTATACTGATCTGTTGCAATTTTATGTTGTTATCAAAAACACTGAGTGCTGACACCTCTAGTTGTTTTATAAAAATTTGGTAAATAAATTGTTGTTGAGGAACAAAATGGAGGAATATTTTGTTTCTTTGAATTTATCAGCAGCTAGCAAAACCAAAGTTGCCAAATGGTTACAGTTTGTTTGAAAACATTCTGCTAAGCTTAAAAATAATTTTTAAAATTGCAAGACTGATTTTTTTTAAAAAATTGTGTTTTGCATAGGCAAGTCATGATAAGAAGGCACATATTGAATCTTCAATAATTTTCAAATATTTCATTATGCTTTATTTTCTGCTCAAATGACAGCCCTAGCTTCATCATATAAGGTCCTACTTTCATCAGAGCAAGAAAATTCTCACACCTCCACAACAGATGTAGGGTTTTATAAAAGCCAGGACAAAATTAACTAGCTATTGTCTAAGTACTGCGGTTCTGTGCGTGCACAATATGTCTCTGCAGAAACACTGCAATGTTAGAGTCTGAGAAAAAAGCTAAGTGTGCCTAATAGCTTGTAGACACAGCCTCCCACTACAACGCTGTGGTCATCAGTAGTTGTCACAGAGCTCATCAGTGACCAAATATATTGTTCATTCTACCACATATAAGCTATCACAAAAGAGAGAATGTACAAATAGTTTAATTTTATTTCAAATTAAAAGTACTGCACTTAAGTCTCCCCAAGGAAAAAAACAAACCATGGGTTGGAAGTGGAAAATCTTTTCCTTATGTAAAGCTCATATTCAACAAATGAACTCATGACAGAAAGAGCTGCCTAGCTCCTGAAGGTCTGCATACGTCAGCAGCTCTGATTTCTGGAATGCAACAGAGACTTAATTTGGTTCGTGACTGTTACTTCATTAAACAAGCCAAAGTTGTTGTGTTTTTCAAAACCAAAATATTTTAGTTGCTCAAAAGAAGTATGCTATATGAAGTGCAGTGTAATCAGAGTATCCATTAACCCCCCTGTGGCATCGCTAATTTGAAAAGAATCTACTGAAAAGGAGACTGGCAACTATGATAAAGCATTTGCCTTAAAAATGTGCCATTTATTCCTGCTTCTACTTTACGGAAGAATTGTAGTTAGCACATAGAAAACAGACAGTAAAAATTACAAAGCAAACACAATGAGCTGCTCATATAGAAGACTGTTTCCTCATCAAGGTGAACACGACTGGTAGTGAGGAATAGAAAATTCAGCACTGCCATAAAAATACTCATTACCCACCAAAACATCGACTCTAACGTACATATTGCAAATAAAAATACACTGCACAGCACACCACCATGAAGTACTTTCAGAAGAAGTCTTGTTATCTACAGCACAGGCAACTGCAAAGAATAACAGCCGAGGCACCGGTAGCAGCAGCTTCTTTGTTAAAACAATGCACGTCGCATTGAGAAGTAATTCAGCTCACCCTTTCCCCCCGCCCCGCAGCCCCTGCGGCTCTCCCCGCGTGCGCCTGGCCATCATAACGGAGCATTCATGCTCCTGCCACTGCCCAGTAACAGATGCAGCAGACAGGGGAGACAGAACAATAACTGTTTGTATAGGTTAGGAAGAAAGGCTGCAGCCGTCTCCTCCTTGACCAAGAGAGGAGCCTCAGAGCTTTAATAGCAAAACACACAAGTTACGTTTCTCTGGAGAGTCACCAGTTACAACAATAAAAAGGGGGGGGGGGAAGTAATGCGAAGCAATTTTTCACTGTCTTTAATTTTCCTTGTAAGAAACAGTGCCTTTAAACAAAGCAGAATGAGTTAAAGTGACAGTGAAACGTCATATGATTTTACTAGCCGTTTCCAGATAATAGAAAACACACATTTTTCTCATTTTAAAAACATGTCTTTTTCCACATCATGAGATATAGTCTAGTTGCTACATAGAGCTTAGTTATGTACTGTTAATTACATAATGAATGACAACCAGAGGTCACAAAAATAGGCCACTTGCATTTACGCCTGTGTCTAAGTTTCGGGAATGAGATTCCAATCCTTATTACTTTGAAAATGAAAATAAAACAGTTTCAAGTGTGAATTATTTTCAGACTTTTGGAAAAAATGCTAAGTACAGATGAAAAGCAGAAAGATGCCAAAAGCGCTTGGACAGTTATCAAAAGGTCAATATTAATCAGGTGCTGTGTCCTGTCCTGCTGAGAATTTTCATCATATGTGAAAAAAGGGCTAAAATGGGTGCTTTTTTGCCTTTTTGTTTTTTTTAATTCCCAGTGCTGTTCCAAATCACTCTTACCCGTATTCTCATATAACTATGGAGATACAGTATGTACGCACCCAAATGGGTGACATGTTACACATTTTAAAGCATCATATCAAAGAAAAAAGGGCTTATGCAAATAAAAAATTAGATCATCTCAACTCCCAACAAGGTAAATCTGTCTACAGAGGAAGGCAGAAGAGCTGCTGTGAAGCATAGCGTATGTATGTAGCCTGTTCATCAGCAGCTTGCACAAATGGTGCTCCAGATGTATATCTGTTCAAGACAGCCCAAGGCAACAATTTTGATCAATTCTAATGTGATAAAATGCTGCGGGGAAAGTGTGCAGAAACGTGTTTACGTCAGCCTTTAATTAAACTGTTCTTCACTTCCAAAGAACCTCAGGAAACACTAATGAGACATGAGTTTTGGCAATTTCCTCATCAAAGCAAAGACCTTCATCCTCAGCCTGAAGCAGCTTTCCATCCAGGCAGTTCCCTGGACGAATGTCCCCTCGGCACACTACACAGCCAGCCACCTGTTAGGAGAACTTGGCTGGAATCCAGCAGTGATCCAGGGCAAGTTCAAACATCTATCTGCCTGCTTCTGGACACCTGATCT